GCATATGCTTTTTAAGAAGTATTTTCCCCCTCTGCTAAGGGCGGCCACATCCCCTGGCAGTTAAACATCACACCGAGATTGACCGAAAAAAAGCTGGCTGCTCTCATCCTCCAGGTCCGGGTGATTTTTTTATGAGTCTCCCAACAGCATTTAAACGGGCGTTTCATTGCCCTTTCCCGAGCTGTGGACAGCGGACCCGTCTGCTCCCGGGCCCTACCCAGCCTCAAACTCCTGGGCACTGCAAACTGGAAGAATACAAAAGAAGTAACAACAAAACATGAGGGTGGAATTAGCTATTTTTATTTTCTGAAGGGAAATGGAATTTTAAAAAACCCAACTTTTAATTGCATATGCACTCCCGAGCCCCAAGCTTTTTGGAGGCAGGTGGCTGTACCCTGGGCCATCACAGGACCAGAGACCCCAGGCCGGAGCCCCCAGACCTAGAACTTCTCTTGGGTGCCACACAAAAGCGGCCCAAGCCTGACAGAGCTTCTGAGAGTCACCTGCACCCCCTTCTCCTTCCCCCACTTCATTCTAGGGGTGACTGGGACCTCTGAGACAGAAAGCTATTTGGTCCCCAGTCGTACTTTCGATACTTTCTATGAGAAAGAAAATGAAAATTAATACAGGAGCAGGGCTTCACAAAAGAGGCCATTTGTCTTCTTGATTATCTATTTGCTTGTCAGAGTTTGAGCTATGGCACTGGCTAGCTCCTTTGTAATATAAAAATACTCTGAAAACCGGCAAACACCCAGAAACATCTGTGCAAAAAATTAGACTCATTAAAGCCTTAAACACCTCAGAGGAAAACGATACCTTCTTATGCGGGAGGAAAGAGGCCGGCCTCTCGGAATCCTCTCTCGGAACTTTAATAAGCAAAGAGCCGTCTGTCTAGAAGGAGACAGCTTAACCGCATTTTATTTGCTTATGACAAATAAATCATGATATGAAAGGCTTTGCCATACTTAAGCCTCTTGTGTCCTACAACGAAACATTTTCCCCCCATTAGGGATTGGAGTCAACCCTTCCAGTCCTTTCAATCCATTTTTGGACTAGAGGAAAAAAATTTAAAGCCCCAAACAGAACACACCCACCCCAAAAGGAAAACAAGCCAGCTACTACAATTTGGAGTCCTCAGAGACATAAATTCCCACTGGACCCTTTGAAAAAAATCTTCAACCACATACAATGTGAGGCAGAATGAACTGGGGTGCTTAAAATAGAGACTTGGGTGGCCTTTATATCTTTAGATAGAGGCTTCAACAAAAACACGCTGTGCTGGTCACAAGAAACCAAACATTTATTTCTATTGTCACTGTACAGGACACAAATTTTCACGCCAAGGAAGAATTCTAGACTCAGGCAGCCCCAGAACTAGGAAGGGGCCTGGTTTGGAATGTTAGGAAGAGAATAGGAGAGAGGACACACATGACATAAAATAATAATAATAATAATAATAATAATAATAATAATAATAATAACCAATGCAACAATGATAAACTAAGGGAGAGGTCTCTGTAACATCATCTCCCAAACCGGAGGGGCACAACATTTTATTTCCTAGTTTCACATTCAATTTCAGTCAAGGAGAGCAGGTCCCCGCTGTACAAGTCTAGATTGGTGAAAGGGTTGTGCCCAGCTCTCAGAACTGAAGGCCCCTCACCCTGCCAGGAATGGCTTGACCTTCCAGAGGAAGGCCCTCCCGGGTCTCTGGGTCTTTCTTTTTTTCTTGGACTCAATTTCCCTGCCCATTCCTGCGTTGTCAAGGCCGCCCGTGCCTCCACTTGTCCCCTTCCTGCTGCCCCCCACCCCAGTCCCGCGGTGGAAGTGGGTGAGCAGTCAGTGTCCCCGCGAAGGGGAACGGAGGGGGAAGAGGTTGTATGTGCGTGTTTGTTACCGTGGCCCAAATATTGCGCTATCTGGCAGTCAGAGGGTGCTTTCGCTGGGTGTCAGGAATGGGGGACAAAGAAAGAAAATCCAGGCTGTCTTCCAGCAGCGGCAGCAGCAGAGGCGGTGGCGGCCCAGCCGGGCCTCATTTGTTAGCCGGGTGTCGAGGTAATGGTCGCCACCGAGGCCCGTCCTCTCCTCGGCAGAGTAAACAAGACAGATGGGCCTAGGCTTGGCGTGATTAAAGATGAAACGTGGATCCATCTTCGCCAAAGCCGAAAACGAGGAGTGCAGCCTCCTCCTATTTCTCTTTCTGTCTTTCCAATTCTTTTCTTCTTCTATTTTTTTTTCTTCTTCTCCTTTTTTTTTAAGGAAGAAAGCAAGAGACTTGAGCCTTGCTTCTGGGGTGGGGGGGGGAGGGCTCGCCCAACTCCCTATTGTCATTTCTATAAATAAAGCTTCCCTTCCCCCTTCTTTGCGTTTATTCGCGTAAATAGATAAAGCTGGGGAGGGCAGGTGGGCTTTTCCCGGCCCAGGCCCCAGTGTCCCCTCCCGCATCTTTCCCCTATTCCCCCTCGCTTGCCACCCACCCCGCCCCCAGGTTCGCGGCTCCCACGCGGTGGGGGGGCACTAGAGCGCCGGGGGCCCTCCGTTGGGCCGGCCTGGGGGCCCTCCAGGTGTGCCTGCGGTGCCACCCGAACGGATCTTGGTGTTGGGCAACTTGTGGTCTTTTTTCCACTTCATACGCCGGTTTTGGAACCAGATCTTGATCTGGCGTTCGGAGAGGCAGAGCGCGTGGGCAATCTCCACCCTCCGGCGTCGCGTCAGGTAGCGGTTGTAGTGAAATTCCTTCTCCAGCTCCAAGACCTGCTGGCGGGTGTAGGCGGTCCGAGAGCGCTTGGGCTCCCCGCCGGCGTAATTGGGGTTTACTGGACACACACAGAGAGAAGGAGAAAGAGAAAGTTTTATTGCCCCTAAAAGGAGGAGGGAGAGCCCTTTCTTCCAGCTAACACAGTATCTCCCTCCCTCCCTCTCTCTCCCGCCACCTCTTCTTTCTCTGAAGTGTGTGTGTGTGGGGGGGAAAAAAAAGAAGAAAGAGGGACCCTAGGAAGAGAAAGAGATCTCAAAGTTTTGGAGGGTTGTGTTATTTCGATGTTGTTGTTTGGGTGTCTGGAGGGGAGTGGGGAGAGGAGAGGGATTATCACAAGGTTTTAATCACTCCTCTACCCCCACCCTTGGCTTGGGGCCCGGGATGGAAGAATGAGGGGTGAAAGGGGAGGAGGGCTTCCCTAAACCTTTCTTCTGTTAGTTCCCACCCTCTCTGCTCAGATTCCAAGCAGCGCCTGCCCCCAGTAAAAACTTATGCCCACTTCTTGAGTCAAGCAGCCAGGCTAGAGGAAAGAAAGAGAAAAATAAATAGTGGAAGTTGACTCAACCCTCCGCTTAAATACAGATTACCTCCTCCTTCTCCCCCACCTCCCACCCCCTCCCCAACTTTCAATTTCACTGAGACTGCATCTCCCTGGCGAAAAAGTCGCTAGTGAGGATGGCAAAGAGGATGGGGAACCGACTTCAAAGGCGCGGGACCCACTAGGCCATAAAAATTTATGGGGGATGTAATTATGTGGCTCTGAAAACAGGCAACCGTAAATCTCGGCAATGGCGAGTTTATAGCGGGGACAATTGGCTTCCCCAAGCTTCCCTCCCCCCCACCCCCATGACTCCGAGGTCCCTTCAGTGTAAAGCGCCGGGGGTGGGAGGGGGAAGGGGTGCCCACGCACTCACCCGTGCTCACGTGAACTTTGCGCATCCAGGGGTAGACGACGGGCTCTTTGCACGAGGAGTGGGACGGGCTGGGGTGCAGGGGGTTCTGGGCGCAGGGAGGCGGCGGGGGGCTGCTGCTGACCGCCTCGCAGCGCTGGCCGGGCTCCGGGAGTAGGGCC